AATTCGATAATTCAAAGCTCGACTGCAGATACAGTTTACTTATTTAGTTATTTTTTCCATAACCTCATCCATCTGCAAATATGTATCGCTTTATTTACAACAAACACATAACTAAAAAAACAAGCATAAAATCTGAAAGCTTTCTGATTTTATATTGCGCTCGAAGGGGCGCATTTTTCATGGGGGATTCTAAACGGGATTTCAAAAATGATACAGACATTCAAAGTCATTCGATGCAAAATACCGTTAGACATTTGTAACGTCTTTGCGCTGCTACGCTACCAGTATAATACCAGTAAGAAATGTAAAGTAACTTAGCGCATAAAATATCCGTGCTTGAAGATGCATGCGATGTTAATGTAACTGAAACGTTTTTGAAATCGTTGAGTTTGTTAATCAAAAATTCATTAAAGTTTTACAAAATATGAAATAGATAATAAAACAAATACCAAATTTCTGCTTTCAGATACCAACTACGTTATTAGATAGGACTCAAAATTTGATATCTCTGGGTAACGTTGATTTTAACAATGCCAGAGAAACATATATACATTCATGCAGATTCTTCATTTTTTAAATATAATACAAGGCTCTAATATTTGGTGGCAAAAATTTGAAAAGTGATTCAGATTTTTATTGTGAACCAACACAAAATGCGAAAACAGAATTAACAGCCCTTCTGGGCTAACACCCTTTGAACTAAATATATCAGTAGGCCCCATAAAATAGCTTTGGGGACGGAATGCGGGGTACCAGTTTCAGACCACTGCTTTATGTAACACATGAAACTCAAAGAAGTTCACAAGGGACTAATGAGAAGAAGGTAAGCAGAAGCCAGAAACATTCGATATTGCTGTTAGGAATTTTTTTCAAAAACTGAAAAATGCATTATAAACTACTTAAGAATTTCAGAAGGTAAAATTACATTAATAGATGAAAAATTATTAGAAAAGATCTTTCATGAGATAAATAAAAACTAAAATTCATAAGCTATATTTCAGTGAAATAAACACAGATAAGAGAATCACTTTATAGCTTTTTCATTACATATACATAATTGATATTTTCTACATATTTTGCTTTACATATTTTGGTATACCTTTTTCAGCCAATAATTTGTAAAAAAAAAAAAAAAAAAAAAAAAAAAAAAAAAGGCAGTTTTAAAGATCAAGTCCAAAAATTTGGTGGCAGCATGAGCACAGCTCTAGGACTCAGTCGTATTTCTTCCCATCGGATATCATCCGCGAGTGTGTGATCCATCTGGTTCAGTGGCAGGATGTAGCGTCCAACTGGCCACAGGCAGTAATGCAGGAACCTAATGACACAAATACAGGTAGTGGCTGGCACACAGTACTTTCATAAGATGCAATTAAATAACATATTGTCATATCAAAAATATTGGCACAATACGTTCAGCAGAATATAAATGAAATAATATGGGGAGTATATGATTTTAATTAATGATTTCGAATACCAAACAATCTTATGTACATTTTTAATTGAATATGTATTTAAGCAGCATTTTTATCTCCAATTTCTTCTTTATTATATAACGATTAATATTAGGAAATATCTACATAAATAATCTGATTGTTTATGAGTTGAAACATACATTAATTAGAATCTGCATGTACAGACGTTTTCTCTCATTTTTTTTCAGACAAAAAGAAAAAAAAAATCGTTCATTACTTTATTAAAGCGCGATAGATACAACTTCAAGATAGGGAAGGGATGTAAATGTTTGTACATTTAAAGAAGCTAACATTTATACACTGAAAAGCGAAGGGCTGATTTCTTTTATAAGCAAGTTCTCAGTTATCACATGGAATAGTACTTAAAAAATTATCACCTGAAAACGCTCAAAAAATTGTCTTCGGTCGCAAAGAGCAGAATAAAAACTTCAAAAAGCTTAAAAACTACAGCTACTTGGCATGAAGCGATCTCGTATCCTTCTGCCATTTACCAATGGTAAATGTAACTTGCCATTTTTTGTTGTCCTTTAACTTGCCAGCAGGTAATCTAAAGATATTTCTTTCTTTTCCATGTCTGATCTCGAATGTAATTGGGCCATCGTCATCTGGGTCCAGAACAGTTTCTAGAGGTACAGGTTTCACTTTGCGTCCAGCCTGTTCTTCATACCTCGAGACCACTTCTTTCATTTCTTGAACAGTGAAAGCGTGTCTCATTTTCGATGTGACGTTATCTGCTGACATCTCTACTACAATGGTATCATCCGGATGGACATCTGGGCCAAGTCTTTCGCTGATAGCCGCCAGAAGAGCAGCAGGAACCCTCCTAGGAAAAGGATTGGATAAGGCAGGTAGACTGTTTGAAGTATGAATATTTCCAAGTTTACCGGGGCATGGAGAAAATGTGGAATTATTTGTGGAACCATCTTCTAATCTATCCCAGCTTTTAGAGCGATTCACTAGTATTCTTGATTGTGGTCCTTTCCTCTCATCAGTCCTACGGGCAATTTCAGGCAATGATGGGATACGAGTGTAGTATTGTCTGTCTGACATCAGATCTAAAAACAAAGGTAATTTCCATTTGAGAACTCCATTAACAAAGAAAACGCACAATTTAACACTTTTTAATATTGGAGCATTAATAGGATTAATTTTTTATTGGAAATTTCACTAATTAAAAAATTTGAATATTAAATTAAAAAAATCTGGAAGTTTTCAGGTTTTAACTGTCGTCGAAAAAGGGATGTTAAGGTTTTTCACACTCTCACTTACTTCGCAGTCTACAAGTTTGCTGTTACACTCACTCCTACTAACCCCCGTCTTTTTACTTCCTTGTACGAAGTAAAAAGGAAGTTTGTAATCGCGAAAAGTTTCAGGCATCATATTTCAACGCAAATATCCATTTTTACCGCTATCGAATGCAATTTAACGATATTTTTGCTTGACATCTGTACGGAAGGGCAGGATAAAGGACTCTTTCCGCCCAAAAAAATTGTAAAACTAATTTTAAATTAATTCTGAAGAGAATTTTCCGTGGCGTCTGTGCGTACGTACGTATCTCGCATAACTCAAAAACGAGTAGCCTCAGAACGTTGAAGTTTTGTATATAGGATACTATAACATGCAGATGTGCACCTCATATTTTGGTTGCAATCGGCCGCACCAAAAAACCAAAAGTATATAAATATATGTATATATATTTCCACTCTCTGTTACTCGGCTCAGTTCCTTTGTTCTTATATGTTTGTCAATTGTGCATTTTTTGCTTTAAAAATGATTGAATTATGTTGTTCTTATCTTCCGGTTAAAGTTTTTAAGCCTTTAGTGAACCTGTATGCAATATTTTTAGAATTATCACTAATTTAAAAGTTGTTTAAGTGCCGCTTAGCCTAATAATTGTTTCCATGGCAGCCATCGCTTGTTTACATTTGAAACAGCAGAATAGTGGATTTGTTTCCAATCTAGAGAAAGTAAGCTTTGCAATAACAAAGATAATGCCTTCTTTTATTATTGCGAATTAAATCATGCTTAATCCATTCTGGCATTTATTCGAGGAAATAAGTGTTTAAGATTTCCTTCATAATTTTCCAATACAGACATTTTGAGTTTTTATGTATTTTTGCCTTGTCGCGAAGTGAGAACTGAATTAATTGAATGAGAAATACTGAATCGTCTGTGAAAAAGTTTCTTTCTTTCTTTCTTTCTTTTTTTTTTTTTTTTTGTTCCTTACTTAATTTCTTTTATACATCGTTTTAGATTTATTATTATATTTGAATAGAACATGTGGCAACGATTAGATAATTTTTAAGATGATATAAATTTTGTTCATTCTGAGTTAAAAAATGGATGAAATGTAACGCTGTTAAGTGAGCCTAGGGGCCAGAGTGTCGCTATGGTAAACAAATATGGTGAATTTTAAATAATGCATTTATTCTATTGTGGTTTATGCGCTATCGGCGAAGTAGATTTAATTCAATCCAATAAGTTTAAATGAAATGCAAGAAAAAGTGTTATTTAATATTAAGTAAGTGTAGTTTAATATTCCGTACAAGGAAGTCATGTGTTGCACACATCAGATTTATTAGCTTTATTATTAAGAATCGTTTTCTTAGTACTTACGACATACATATTCACAGTTACTCGTGCTTGACAAATTTTATGACTAATCTTATTACTCGATAGCATGTTTAACAGAATCAACTGATACTCACCTGAATGCTGTTGTGCGGTATGATGACATTTGTGCGTATCACACATGCAAAGTACATGATTAACATTCGTATCATTTTTTGTTATTGGTCCTACATATGTTCTTTCTGAAATATCTTTGGTGTTTGTCTGAAAAAAAAAAGAACATTTATTTTTTAATAGATGTTTATTCTACATAGAAATTGGCCAATAAACTGTATAAAATTCGCAGTAAATGGTGATTAATATCGTTTTCTAACAAGTAATTGAAAGGTTTTCAATCTATGGTGTTTATAACCCTTAAGTGAATGCATTATGTTTTACTTCAGGTTTTCTGAGATGAGGCTTTTCTGAAAATCGTCCAGTTTCAGTTGCTTATTACGAGACAGGTAAGAAAGGTTCCCATTTCACTCTTTTCCATTCAAAGCAAAGCCGCGAATGGATATGATTGTGTGAAGTGATGTTATAATGATGTCGTAACTCCGTGTGAAGTGACGTCATAATGATGATCCGTCTTTTAAACTTCGTGCTCAGACACCGTTAAGATACAATATTAACCTCATTAGCGTTTATTTCTATATACTAAACACACGTATTTTTTTAATGAAATAATAACGCGTGGTTATCATTTCGTCCAGCTTCTTTCTGTTAACATCTGCGTTACTCTTAAACCATCTCCATGCCAACTATAGTGAAGGGAAACAAATGGAAAGAAAAGCGTAAAATATCACGATTTTTGAAGTTATCTGCCCGAATACTTGCAGAAGGAAAGAAGTACGAAGTGGCGCTATTTTTGTTGCTACTTCCAGAAAGACTGAAATGGGAAAAGCTAAAATGGGACATCATGAAACCTTTTAGGGTAATACAGTGAGAACTCAAAAGTTACTAAATTTAGTAAAATTAGTCGATTAGTTGGCAGCACTGTGATTGATTAGTGCATAATAAGCTGTCAACCTTTTTGTAGCCAGAATTTACTTTTTTTATCTGTGCGGCCAATTTGTAATATACTGATGAGTTGGTAAAATATTAAACAATAATCTGATAATATAATAAATAGCTAGTGGCAGACGAGTTGGAATGACCACCTGTTTTATGTGAACTAATTGGCAAAATGCAGAGCTGTAATTCGCATCTGTGCACATATGTAAATCCATCTTACCTTCGCTATAGGGAAACCAAGCCCATCTCTATTTGAGATTATACCGTCAAACCGTTACTCAAATTACTTATGATGTTTTGGAGGGTTATGGATTTATAAAACTAATTTATCTAAACTAAGTATAACGAAGGTTTAAATTTGTTTTATATCATTTCTGAGATTTTATCGTTATACGTAACACCTGAATAAAAAATAAAAAATATACATACCCGTTTTATTTCAGTTTCGTTGTTGTGCTATAACATATGACAATAGTTTTAGCCACCTCTACAAGAAATATGTCAATTACTGTACAATTCCAGTAGCTATGTCAAGCAAAACAACTTGAGAACAGACCCGGCTGTAGCATTTTCGATTTTCTAGGTCAGTGGTCTGAAATTGGCGCATGAGGCCCCCAAAGCAATTTTATGCGACCCGCAAATTCATTTCCAGTAAATTAATTAGTATTATTATGAAAAGAATTTTAAGAAAAAGTTTAAGATTTTAATATTCTGGAGTCCAGTTTTACATTATTTTCATTATCAAAAACTAACGTGAGTAACTCACCGGAAAATCTAGAAATGGTATTAGCTAATTTATACTGGGATAAAAATACTGACTATTAGATTTGAAAATACAAATTTGATTAAATTTTATAGTATTTGTTAAAAGATAAGTATTTTCACCTGCGAATTTTTCCAAAAAAATAATCACTTTGTTTGGGAGTACATTTACATCTGAATAGTTTTTTTTCGTAAATGAAAAATTATAAATCTACGAAAAGAGCCAGACTGCCGATGAGTATTTAATATTTGTTATGAAGATATTTTTTATTAATTTTCCTCCAAAATTACAAATTTTATCAGAATCAAAACGCCTGGAGGGGTTGTAGTTTGAAAAATATAGTAACAAACAGATTTACAATTATTTACATACAAACATTATTTTTTCTGCATACTTCACATAAAAATCTAAGAAAAAGAAAGAGAATAATTTTCATTATTTATTTTCAAGCTTTGTCCCTCTTGGGAACTTTTCAAGTATTTCTTTTTAGTTTGAGTTTAAAGTAAGTTACTTAGTGTTTACTTCAATATATGACAATTATTTGAATAAATATCAATCTGAAGATCTTAGTATTCAGCTGTCAATACGTTTGAACTACGAACTGTAGCCAAACGAAATTTCTTGGAAATACCAACTATTTTCAGATTTCAGGCAGAAGATAACTGTAATTTTGAATTTTTTCGTTGCGTTACTTTTATATGTTTTGACTAATATGCAATAAAAATTTTTTTAATTTAGTAAACAGCTTTTGTTTTGTGAACAAAAAAAAAATCTTTCTTTGTACTCTTCCCCTTTTTTTAATAGCTGCTTCTCAGCTACTTTCATATTGCGTATTTCGCCCGTGTGCAATTTGAGTTTGAGATCACTGCTCTAGGTGGTCGATACACGTAGTGCTTTATTAAAATTAAATATATTAATAACTGAAAACGAAATATGCTTTTAAATAATTGAGAACACTTTAGCTAACGCCCCCTGAAAATGTGCCTGCGAAAATCTGAACCTATGCATGAAGCCAGCCTGCTCCAGAGCTGGCTTTGAGCTCCCACTAGTGGCTCTGATCCTCTTCCCACTGGTTTAAGTGATTGTAAAGCTTGAAACTGTGGTGTTATCAGAAGGATTCTGTGGAATGTATACAGGATCTTTAGAAAAATTAAGTACAGGCTGTTATTTTCCTAAATACTTGTCTTATGGAGAACAGCTCTTTAATCGCACTCTTCTTCAAAATAACATAAGAATGTGAAAAGAGTTCCTACACTATGGATGGAAGTATTCTGTAGATTCTGTTTAAGTGAAACGTAAAATTTTACATGTTCTTATAAAAAATTAATAAAGTACTCATTATGTTTTAAGAAGTTAAAAAGAAAAAGGTACGTATTTTCACATTCAAAATCTGTTGAGATGTGCGTATTTAATAAAGACTGTTGTTGTTTTATCCAGTATGGAACCACTAATCGCGCTAATAAACATCTTTGTAACTTGGGTAAAAATCTTGAACTTTGCTTTGTAACAACAACTGAAAATTGATCTTAGCTGGTAAGTCATTTTCGAATAGCTCCGCGAACAGTGCACATAGAGGATAAAACATAACATTTTGTGCTTAAATTAAAACATAAAATTATTTTAGTAATTGAAATTGTTTCTGTACGAGTGCCTTATGAAAATCTAGGCATTATATTTATGGAATTCTTCCAGTTAAAGTTAAAATTGCTCTTTCGTGCTTCGTTTAAAAACGTGTTATTAAAAGTATACATGTCTAGGATCAGTATTTAAAAAGTAAAGGGTGTAGTCACCTTTTTCAAAGATAACTGTGTATTGCAAATACATATGACGCACGGTCTAAGCTAATGACAGCCTGAAAAATAAGAATTAAAACCTAGTTACGAGAATATCTGAAGATAGAGGATATCTGCATACATTTACTTCAGAACTGGAAAACTGCATTAACATTTGCTGATGGAAACTTGAATCTGTAAGTTTAAATTACCAAAAACGACATTCAGCCTCAGCAGCTTTAAAAAATAAAAAACAACCACACAATCACTGACGATGAAATGTGAATATATATCGTGCATGCCAAAGATTATTTAAAATAGGCAAAAAAAAAAAAAAAAAAAAAAAAAAAAAAAAAAAGCAACCTTATTATGGCGTAGGTTTTGAATAAAGCTCTCTTGATTTGGAAACCGAACAGACACAGGTCTCTTTTCTTCAGGAATGCTTTATGCATTATCGCCCTCGAAATGGCTAAAATTTTATTCAGCATCTACGCCAAAATAAGGTTGCTTTTTTTGCCTAATATTTAAATTTTACACTGGCATGTTTCTCTTTCATTTGATTAGCAAATATTTTATTTATAACTGTTACTACATCTGATAATATGTTTGAAATTAACTTGTATGGATTATGTTAATTTTATTAACAGTTAAATTTTGAGTTAAAGTTCCTTTCCTGTCGATTCTTAACTTCAACTTACCACTTCCGGCCAGAACGTAGTTTTAGAATCACGCCTGAATACATAATGAGGAAGAGCGGTATTTAACCGCGAAGTTCTTCTGTTTTAGAGAGAGAGATACCAGGTATTCTGTCTGCACGCGTCTGCCTTTTTTAGGCTACTCTCTCGTAAGCAATTATCACGCTCGGCCGTACTTTAGGCCCTTGATAGATTCGCAGTCTATTAACGGTTAAGGGCCAACTCTGTTAAAAATATGATAACTTCGGCTATACCTCTTTAGTTTAGATTAGTCTAGTGTTATTCTCAGTCTCTTAAGTTCAAAGCCAAAATATCGCTTTATTGTACACTCTAAGACGGAGTCTTGTTAAACCTTAGTTGGAATAATAAAGGATTAGTTTACCCTTCTATCTTGTTGTTTCCTGTCACACGAACTCAAGCAATTATTCGCTTATCAGTTCTTAAGATTCTTCACTTTCATCAGTAACTTACACAATGAGGAACTCTACAAAGTAAACATTTTAAATCCTTTCTACGGTTTAACTTTAAGGGACTTTGGAAAAGCTTGGTTCGTTATTTCCGATACGATAAGGCAAAAGATTATCTCATAAAAACGTGTAAAAATTGAATGACTAAAGGAAAGATCATTAACATTGTCACCTTCAACCAAAAAGAAGTGAATAGTAGATTTAATTTAAAAAAATCGCACTAAGATTTGATTGCATTTATTATTGGGCGCAGTTATTAAATTTTGCTGTTCTTCTTTTCCTGTCTCTCCGAAGTGTTTGGCAAATTCATTGGCCTTTGTCTGAAATATTTGTCCAGATATCAACATATTTCGGCTTCAATGACTGGCGAACTATTTAAGCAATGTTTCTTCAGCATCCCTATTTTGCACTTTTTCAACTTTTTCCTCATATCCAATTTTTCCCCCTTGAACAAAAATTACAAAGTTTCGATTTTTTCAAATAGTACTAACTGTAGCTACATTCATTTTATATTTTTCGAATAATGTTTACCTAATCTTCCGTGCAGAAGCTTAATGTTTACAGCTCGCACGAGGATGAATTTTTTAACAGAAACTGAGTAAGTGAGTTTCGTCAAAGAATATGTGAGAATTTTTCTTTCCTGAAAAATATGAAAAAGGAGATAATTTCGTCTTCTACGTATCCTGTCCCGTATTCTGTGAGAATATTATGAGCATTTTTCCCAAAATATGTAAGGATGCAACAAAAAGGTTAAGAATATCTTACGTCTCGCAAAAACTTAAAGAGTGCATAATCTCCATTTTTAGGATAAAACTTGAGCAGTATTCACAGTTTAACACACACACACACACACACACACACACACACACACACACACACAAAAAAAAAAAAAAAAAAAAAAAAAAAAAACACCCCGATAAGAATGAAACTTTTCATTTCCTTAAAAGAGAATTAATTGTAAAATCATCAACTCGTAAGATTTACTACTTCCTCTTTCCCTATCTAGAGAACATTTTAAAATTTCCATCCTAGAAATAAGCCTTGAATAGAGCTTTGTCTGACAACTCAGTGAAAGAATTTCAATGAAATTAGATAACTCATTGACGTTTTTTGGTTCAAGGGTCATGTACATCGTAAGGTGTCCTAATGTATGTTTATTGTATCCTCATTCTCCCAGAATTGGGTGTCACATTTGTATCGCATAGCGTATATTTAGAACGAGAGAAAACTGGCCATGAAGATAAAAGGAAAAATAGCATAAAGATCCTTTATAGATAAAATGTGAAATGTAATGGAATGCCAATCCTAATATCTTAAAAATGGATAATTTTAACAGTTAGTAATTTTTTTTTTGGTTAAAACTTGCAGGTATTCTGGAATAATATGCTGAACAAAAAAGTTTCAATATAAGTCATCCATACTTTTGGAGGTCAGCTATAACAGTATAAAATAACATTAAGTACATAGGAAAATGGACGGGGCTAAAAAGTTCGTTCGTTATATCCGGGGGTTCATTATAACAGTGTTCGACTGTATAATACTTCTGAAAATGTTATGACTAAATAACTCATTTTAAAAAGATACTATTCAACTGTTTGTTGACCGTATTTAACCGTACAACATTTTTGCTTTAAAATTACGTGTAAAAAAAAAAAAAAAAAAAAAAAAAAAAAAAAAAAAAAAAAATCCCAGTCTGAAATTTCAGGCGGCAGTTCGAGCATTAATTTATAAAGTTTCATGATATTATATGAACTATATAAAAATTACCGGATTAAAAAAAATTATTGCCTGAGTGTTACGTACAGATTTTATTTTAACACCTAAAACAATTTTAATCAATAAACAATTGGAATAGGCTCTTTAATTCAAGAATTAATGCACTCACAAATATAAAACATAAAACTTTGTATTAAAAATGAGTTTTTCAAAATGGCAAATCAAATATTAAATTAGGAAATTACAATGTTATTATTTCACTGTAAATTAACGCTATAGAAAGATTTGTGCACTTACATAATAAAGAAAATTATTCAAAACATCAATATGCATTTATTTCATTAGACTACTTCCGCACGAAGCTTGTGACAAATATTTGTCTGAAGTGAGAATACTTTTTATTTTGGTAGGACGGGAAGTCCGTGAAATTAAATGAAAAATATATTAAAAAAAAGGGTGGCCACCCTTTTTACGGGTATTTAGATTATTCATATAAAATATGAAAGCTTTCAGATATTCCCCGGGGAATATCTGAAAGCTTTCATATTTTATAATACGCCCAAAGGGGTATATTTTTAACGTTTTGTGTGTTACCTTTATTTATTAAAAATCATGCTTTTCGCACTTTCAATTCAACAGCAATATCACAAAATATTTAAAAGAGCATATCTTTTGATTTCCGATACAGTCTCGTGCGATGGATAAAAAAAAAGTTTTTTTCTTTCCCTTTTCCCGTACAGTGTTGCCATTGCTTGCTTTGAAATCTTGGAGTTTCTTAATCAAAAACTCATAAATGCTTTAAGAAATATGAAATGAATAATAAAACATATTCCAAATTTAGACTTCGAAATGCCCATATTTGGTTGCAAACGTACGTTATTCAAAATTTGATGGCTCTAAGTACCGTTATTTTATCCCAATGCGAGAAACATATATATATATATATATATATTTATGAAAATTCTTCATATTTAATTTATTTAAATATAATACTAATATTTAGTGGCAACGATTTAAAAAGTGATTCGCCGTTAATAGTGAATCAACGCAAAATGCCAAAACGAAATTACTAATAGCTCTTCTGAAATTACTACTTCTCTTCTCAAATTGCCTCTTTGGGCTAACAAACATCTCGAAGAGGTTCCCTTCGAAGTGTTTAATAATAACTGCTACAAGAGTTCAAAATTTAATTCTTGAGGAATTCAGTTACTTTATTATATTAATTTCATAAAAATAAACTGTGAAATATCCTCCTTATTAAAAAAAAAAAAAAGAAAATATGCGAGCACTGATCTTGCATTGATACTTCTATCGAATATATACGCAAAATGAAATAAGATGGATAAATGAGAAGTGCTGAAAACAGGCAAAAGAAAGGAAACCAAGTTATGTTGTATTCATAAATAATAAGATAAGTGTTTTTATATGAGCGGATTGTAGTTTTACTTTATGCTTGTTTTCCCCCTTTTCACGTGAAATTAGCGCGCATGGCATTATTTTACAACAAGCACAATTCAACTCCAAAATGTGAAAAAGTTTTCAAATAGGTTAATTTTGTATTCAATAAACAAAATTTAAAATTTTCTAAACCAAATTTTTAAAATATTTATTTTCCTCGTCCTTTAAATTATTCTCAGCATTTCTTCACCATTAAAATCATTCTATTAACGAAATTATTACTTTGACATAATGAATGACGATTATTTTGTAACTGGGTACGTACGTAATTTCATCTTCTTATTGTTCATTAACTAACATTTTAAATTATGGAGATGCATGTATATTTTGGCATGTGTCTAATTATAATACTATAAGTGTAATCTAATTATGAGTACTATAAGTGTAATCTAATTATGAGTACTATAAGTGTAATCTAATTATGAGTACTATAAGTGTAATCTTGTTACCATTCTATAATATAATTTATACAATTAAGACACAATAACACGCCGAATAAATACTAATTCAGAAGTCAAACAACAAAAATCAGCGTTATATTTACAAAATTTTCACAGGACTAGTTTCGATGGTTTTACCGAATCACCATCCTCAGCTGCAAAACCGCAAATGAACAAGATAGGAAATAATGATTAGATAAGATAAGAAAGCCTGGACAAGAATAAGCAAGTGGCGCCATCTGTTGGTGAAACTAGAACTAAAACATAATTTCTTTAAAGGCCGAAGGCAAATTTGGATTGGAATTAGGATCGTTAACTAGAACAGAAAGATTTTTATGAATGTGAAATACCTCTAGAAAATCCAATTCTCCAATGGAAGATGTTTTTTGAATAATTTTGGCAGCAGAAAAATTGAAAGTGTGATTTTCGGACCAACAATGTTGAGCAACAGAAGACTTCTGTGTTTCCTTTTTTTTATCATATGCTTCATGTTCCCTTGACGCGAAATTTTAAGGCTCTCTTAAAGCGTTATCACATTAGCTGTTTGTTGCCCGAACAAAACGTTTGCAGCAACAGTTCTGAGAAACGGCCTTTGACGAAATAGGGTTACCATCTTCACTTGGTAAACAGGCTGAAAGCCAAACAAGAATCAGTTATCGCTCAGATTGGCGAAAGTGACGTTTCCTTTCAAGTGTCATTCGCTTCTTCGTGTTGTTTTGTATCGCTCACACGCTTTTAGTTTTAAACTTTATTCTTAGTAATGGAAGATAATAGAAAGGTGATTGCTATCAAGTTAATCACTTTGAGCTCCACTCTAGCACTTCATGTAACAGATAAACACACTTCTGGTTATAGCAATCAATTACATCACTAATAGCCAAATTCTGTATACACTAAGAATAGTTTAAAAACATGTGCTGGATAAGTCTATTCATCACACATCGCTTATGTGTATTTTCTGTTGTCTGCATTTCAATGAAAATTTGAGGGCTCACTGGAAAATTTGTGACCTGATGAAAGCATTTTCTGACTAACTTTATGGCTCATAATTACTGTTCTGTCCATTCAAACAAACAGATCCCCCGCCCCCCAAAAAAAGACTTTCTATGACAAAAATCTATATGGCTGATATTTACCTCCTCACAGCCAGCAGATACTATTCAGCAAAATGAAGATCAAATAAAGAACATGAATACATGAGCAATCAAACATGTGTGAGTTGTTTACTGTCCCATAGAACACTCGGTAATATACCTAAAACGCATTAATTTTACCAACTCTAGAAATTAGGTGTTCACATCATGAGTTTGTTTTATGGTTTGGTTTATTGAGATTACAGCAAAGCACACTAGGGCTATCTGCCTAATGGAAGGGATGCCTTCGTGGAGGACTTTCTAAGGGAAACTGGCTCGTATACACATTACACATGGGGAAAACCATGAAAGCGCCCATGCAGCCAGCTCGTTCGCGGGATTTGAACCTCGGACCGAACTACCAGTGTTCAGCGACTTTACCGCTCGGCCGCTGGTGGGCTCAGTTTGTTTTATGTGATTACCGCAAAGCCTCGAAGGATAACAACAGGAAGGATCCCTTTGTAGAAGATTTTTTTAAAACTGGCTCGTATACCAGTTATAAATGGGGCAAACCAAGGAAACGTCATGTAGCCAGCCCGTTCGCGGCATTCTAACCTGAGACAGAACTACCAGTGTTCAACGACGCTTCGGCCACTAGTAGGCCTGTGCACTTAATTGGAAAGTGCAATTCATTATGTAAACAGACATGAAGGTGATAATCAGTTGTGCGCTGTTTTAAGTAATCAAATGTTATAAATGTACAGCTGTTACATTTCTTATTATTTATTAGTCATGTTTTTATTACGTAGATCATACGTATGATATAATTATGAATTAACCCAATAACAAAATGTGTACACTCTTTAGTACTCAAATACTCATCAATTATTTTTCAACTGATTATTACATACCCATAATAATTTGCAAAGAAGTGATAACTATAGTTGCTGCCAATTACATAATCGTTATCTGAATTAAAAGCAACTTCAAATAAACTTCTTGGCAATGTTCATTTTTGTATTCAGACATATATATATATACATCTAATAAGTCATATATATTTACATACAGATAGAGAGAAGCGATGGTTTAGAAGTTGTTAATATATATTTATTAGTATTAATGTAATGAATAAGATTTATATTAATGAATGTATATACAAATGTTTTTCATCATGCATAATAATAAATCCATAAATTTCCAATGTTTCAATATGTAGCATTTACAATAAAAGTATAGTTTCTAATGTATTTATAATCCAAAAAGTATTTCATTAATAACATGAAAATAATAGACAAATTTAATGAGTATTCTCATTATTACATAAGCTATGCTTTTCTTTTTTTATGCATCTTTTATGCTGTTTAAAATGTATCACTGATTATGCAATTAACAATTTAAAAGATAAGTAATTAGGAGAAAAGCTGCGCATATACAAACGGATTTTAAAAAAATTATTCAACTTAAATTTAAGAAATAAAATTCTATTATATAACAGTATAATACACGATCAGCACGAAATACGACAAATTTAGCGAACTTATGGCGACGAACAATTTGTAAACAAATCCGAACTGCAAGAACGTCGTAAAATACTGTCAACTCTGAAATTTCCACGATTATATATTTAATGAATATATACACATTTAAAAAATGACTCAGGCAAATGTATTACAACAAAACAGCAATAATTAAATCGGCCTCTATTTCCACCGTCCATCACTTCACAGTGAGAGCCATCGCCATATTGAAAGCTACCCGTGATCCTTCAGAAGCAGAACTTTCGTCTGATTGGTTGAACGTTCGAGGAACACGTCTCCAGCCGGAACATTTTCGGATAAATTTTAAAATGTTGCTCGAAGCTGGCACAGGTTCCTCCTAGCTAGACGAAACATTTCTCGGAAGCCGTGCTACTAGAATCTCGTTTCTCGGAATTGTCCCGGGTAAGCGCGCGCGTCCATAGAAGTGATAGGGCCATTAGTTTGGCCAATGTAAATTAAACCACATTGGCAGGGAATCCTATAAATACCCCAGGAATTCATATCCGGAATGGGGTCCTTGAGTATGGAACTCGGAATTTTATTGATGGGAGAATAATCAATAAAATTCCGAGTTCCATACTCAAGGACCCCATTCCGGATATGAATTCCTGGGGTATTTATAGGATTCCCTGCTAGTGTAGTTTAATTTACATTGGCCAAACTAAGAGAGCCTTACAATTTCGCGTCAAGGAACATGAAGCATATGTTAGAAAAAAAGGAAACACAGAAGTCTTCTGTTGCTCAACATTGTTGGTCCGAAAATCACACTTTCAATTTTTCTGCTGCCAAAATTATTCAAAAAACATCTTCCATTGGAGAAATGGATTTTCTAGAGGTATTTCACATTCATAAAAATCTTTGTGTTCTAGTTAAGGATCCTAATTCCAATCCAAATTTGCCTTCGGCCTTTAAAGAAATTATGTTTTAGTTCTAGTTTCACCAACAGATGGCGCCACTTGCTTATTCTTGTCCAGGCTTTCTTATCTTATCTAATCATTATTTCCTATCTTGTTCATTTGCGGTTTTGCAGCTGAGGGTGGTTGTTTGGTAAAACCATCGAAACTAGTCCTGTTAAAATTTTGTAAATATAACGTTGATTTTTGTTGTTTGACTTCTGAATTACAATTTATACATTCTAAAGAACCACTTGCTGATCTAATTTACAGAATATACGACTATATGCAGATTAACATTAAAGAAATATTTATCCGAGTTACTTTGCATTTGAGACTCTCTTTTAGATATATAATCGCTTCAATATGTCAGTTTTTTTTAAAACGAAAATTAAGGATATCGTAAAATTGCAGTTGCGATTATTGAAGATTATTTTTCACCTTTAAAAAGGCATAAGTTGATATTTTCAAATCAAATTTCGATCACTGTGAGGGAAATAAGAACAGTAATATGACAAATTTGAAAATTATTTATACACAGTCTAAATTAGCATGACGACTTTATTTTGACGGAATTGCAAGAATATTGATCTGTAATTGGACTATTTTCCTCAAAAGGGGCTTTTATCGTTCTACTAATTTTGAAAAGCGTTGCGTTAACTATAGAATAGCCTTTAGGTTTAGCACAAAAACTTTGGAATTCAGTTGTATTTCTGATTGAAAGCAAATTTTATTTCTTAGTGTAAATCTTTGTCCAATGAAGTGAAATTTGCTCTAACTTGGCCAGAAGTTGATTCTAAGTTGAACTTTTTTGACAGTTAAAATTGATCTCTTGTACATTTACATGAGTTTTAACGCAAGTATTTGTGATCAAGGTGGGATTTATTATATTGTTATCTGTAATCAGGGTCGACACCACAGCCGGGCAAACATAGCGATCGGGCCTGTTGGCAGAATTAAGAGCGCTGAAAGTTGTACCGGACAGCAAAAGTACTAGCGCTGAGGCTGTCTATAACTATTATTTGACACTTATTGACTTCTATAATTTGTTCTTCTGGCACAACAGTAGAAGAAGGATACAGAAGGTTTATTTTTGTTTGTTTATTTATTTGACTGAATACGACAAAGGACATGAAGACCATTTGCTTAGGGTAAAGGATGCCTTCATGGAGAATTTTCTAAACTCATAGTCAAAATGAATTCTATTAAAAACTTATAGGCTATATATTTAGCCCGTTTGCCAGGACTGAAACCTGAGTTTCGAACTGCCAGTACCCAGGATTTTTAACCACTAAATATTTTAAGCAACTAGTCCATTGATCTAGATATGTGGACTTGGTGACTTTATACCAGTCCAGCACAAGCCGGTCAACCTCTGACTAAATATTCTTAGGATATGTAAGAATATTCTTAGGATATTCTTGTATATTCTTAGGATATGTAATTTTATATAGATTTTTCATTTCTAAGAAGATGAATTAAGTTTCTTCTATAAGCGTACTTAATCGAGTCATTCGTTTATTGTGTTACTAAGCAAAAAATTACATTTTCTTTCAGATATACTGGTTTTTGTCCTGGCGTGGCTCAACGAATGGGAAGAAGTTACCAAGATACAACGCGAGATATCATAAGAGAGAGGCCGCATCTCCGGAAACGTCTTTCAGCTGTCCGTTGGCGAGAAATGAGGAAAGGAGACACAGGCTATGAAAATGGAAATGACTACGATTATGCCTATTCTGCGATGCCGGACTATGTCGAAGGGTACACAGGTAACAATCAGTTTTTATTTATGGAATAATGTTAAGCGCTAGTACGATAATTTTCGTTACATTAGTATCACATGTGAATAGGCTGAACATAGCGTTAAAGCATAAAATGGCTAATACGAATATTTGTTCTCCTTTTGGAATAATGTACACTGCAGAGTGGATTGGCCAAAACTCGCCAAAGAAAGTGTTTCCAAAAATCCAGGGTGAAGACACTCTTAGTAGGGTTTCTTTTATACTGTAGAGGATTTATTCACCAGGAATTCGTACTTGAAGGAAAAACAGTGAATGTGATGATTTATATCGGTTATGGTTATGCGCCACTGACCAGGCTTCCGACCTAAGGTCAAACTGAGCGGAATGATGCCTGATCAGTGAAAAAAACAACAAGCAGCCACCACAACAAGGCAATGGCTGAAAGACCAAGTGCCATTAATTGCTCTTAATCAGGAATGTCACAGAAAAGTACTTCACCAAAATGATTACAGGACATCTTGCATAAGATGCTACATATGACAATAAGCAAAACGTTAGTGTATAATATTATAGTACAATAGCATTTAGTAATAAGGAACATGAATGCATAATTTAATGGTATTCTGTAGTATAATTCCTTAATATTATGAGACAGAACTATGATAAAGTACGAATAATACTATAAGTTAAATACGACTAAATGTGAAATGTGGCACATTAAATTTATGTTGTTTGACATAATAACTGCAGTAATGCAAAGCGTTTTATAACACATAAATAGTTATTTTAAGAATGATGTAAATAGGTGATATATGACTGAATCAAAATACGATAATACATTGCGTTATGATTACATTAGTTGTTTTAAAACAGTGCCCCACTTACTCTACACATACCTCACAAACATTACAGCAAATAAAGGATTACATGAAATGATTCAATGAACCAGCTATACTATATGTAAAATGACAGATATGATAATAATTTAAAAATACACTTGACGCAGGAATTCAATAACAATATGAAAAGTATTATAACAATTAAATCAATACTTGAGGTGTTTATGATATAAATTAAAAAAGAAAATTAATAAATAATAAAAAAAAAAGATACTCAAAGTAAATTTCTAGTAACTCGGAGCAAATATTGCAAAGTAGTAAAAAGGGGGGAAAAAGGGATGCCCATTTAATTTTAGGAAAAAAAGAAAAAAAAAGCATGCATGAAAGTATAAACAAAGAAACTGCAAACTTAAAAAAGGAGAAAAAAAAAAAAAAAAAAAAAAAAAAAAAAAAAAAAAAAAAACCCTGAGTAAAAAGAAGAGTTAACATTGCTTCTAATTAAAGAAGTACACGTTTTGATATCATTAAAGGGCAGAACTATGAGTTTTTCATACAAACTTGTATTAATAAGCTACAAAATACAAAAAATCGTCAGTGAAATTTAAATTTACAAGATAGTATATAAAATGTATACTGGTGGAAAAGAAAATATTAGAAAGAAAAAATCAACAAAACCTGCTAAATGAAATTTGATTCAGGGGAAGAAAATGTATTTAAGTTGTAACAAATGTTTATACAGTTACTAAGTTTTTAATGCTCCTTTTGATTTCAATAATTGGCTAAGCCAATTTGCCCAGTAGTGTTCTGAAGGTTGTCGTAGAGGAAAAGTTTTAGTATGTATGCAATTAAACGCATAGTGATCAGGTGATGCCTGGTGACCGCAGCTGCATAAGTCGTTCTCTGATAGGCCAGATCTATTCAAGTAAGTCATAAAAGGTCCATGACCAGTTGTATAATTTGTGATTGTGTTAGAGAACGTAGATAAATCAGTAGATACTTTGAGGATGAGCTTGTGTGTTCTACGACCCGTTGTACCGTTATTCCAGCGAAACTGCCGTTCTTGTAACATACTAACGAATGTCACTTTCTTAAGAAAAGATCCTGGAAATGGTAATGCATATTCTGGTAAATGTATGCCCATAGCCTCATTTTTGGCTAATTTGTCTGCTTGCTCATTCCCTACTATTCCTGTGTGTGCTGGTACCCAACAAAAGGTCGGTCTTAGTTCTAATGGAGATCTGAGCAGGTGTTTTTAAATTTCAAATACTAAAAGGCTCCTTGGTTGTGTTCCAGCAATGGCTTGAAGACTTGATTGTAAGTCGGTACAAATTATAGCTCTATTTGAAAATCGATTCGAAATTAGGACTGCTTTTTTAATTACGGTTAACTCTGCCTGGAAAAATGAATTATTTGAATTGAGTCTTATTCTCCATGTGTGGAGAGTCTCATTATTCTGTAAAGTACATAATCCGCATACTGTTCCAGCATCTAGTCTAGAACCATCCGTATAAATTGTAAGATCTTTAGGAAGATAATTAATGAACTTAGCTTTGATGCTTGACTGTAAGTCATTCAGAGCTGGATGAGAAAGGAGATCTAACACTTTTGATTCATAATCAGTAGGATAGTAAGAGTGATTCCATAATGTACTGTTTATTTTTAAACGAAAAACTCGAGGGAGAGTGGCCTCTTGTTCTTCTACTAGGTCAAATGGAGATAAACCTGTGAGTACCCTCAATGCCGCTGTTGGTGATGTGCGATATCCTCTGCTTATGTGAAGAAGAGACATACTCTATATAGAATTTAATAGCCGAACGAGCATGCTTAGTTAGATTAACTGCCCATATTCCAGCACAGTAGAGGAAAATTTTTTCGATGACCGTTTTATATCACAATTTTAAAAGGTGAGATGAGGTTCCCCAAGACTTTCCCGCGGTTCTTTTCATATGATTATTTATGATAATAATTCTGCTTTTCATTTGTTTTAGGTGTGGAACCCAAGATAGTCGTGAATCTAAAACAAGGCCTAGATACTTAATTTGGTTACTGAATTTAATTGATTGTCTTTGTAATTTCAGAGATGGGTTTCTTTTTAAGGGTCTTGCTGCACCTATTATCATAACCGAAATTTTTGAAGGAGATATTGTGATTTTGTGATTACGGGCCCAATTGCTAAATATATCCAAATAGAATTGAGCTATCAGTGGTAGTTTTGACTTCCCATGTATGACCATTAGGAAGTCATCTGCATAGGCAACTATTTCACATTCTTGAAAGTGTTTGAATTCTTCAAGAATGGAATTGCACCAAAGTATCGGTTCTAAGCAAGAGCTCTTTGAAACTTTCTGGTTACAATCTCTGAATATGTTGTAATCTGTACTGTTTTGTCATGTAGATAGCTCCTGATTATTTGGATTGGATACATAAACGCATCCCACGTATCCTTCCGGACGTTCATGCCAAAAAAAAAAAAAAAAAAAAAAAAAAAAAAAGATTCTTTCTGCAGAATAACGCGCCGTTCCACAATGCAGCTGCTATTCGTGCGTTTTGGGGAGACGATGTAACTGTGCAACATCACCACCCTATTCGATAGACTTATCATCACCAGATTATTTTTTGTTTCCAAAACTGAAAGGCCATTGATTCAACGATGTCAAGACGATCCAACAAAATGTTACAAAAGGATCTAAGAGGACTTCCAGCTCATATGAAAAGGGTTGCGTTTTGTGCTAACCGATGTATAACTTCACAAGGTTTTTATGTAGAATAATAATTTATGTAAAACAATTACTGCACTGATTGTTTTTTTATGAGCTCAGGTCTAAAACAATTTAGCCAGAATATGTATGTCGCCTGTTTACTTATTTTCATAATTTGAAATATAACTTTTTGTTGAGCTTCATACAACGAACATAATCCTTAATGGTACTTTTATGGTACGCTATTTCTTAAAAGTTATTGTGGGAATAATTTTAAAGTGTTCCCGAGCCTGGCTTAAAATTGCGAAATACCGTAAAAAATTCATAGAATGTTAAAACCGCCCTCAGTTTTAGAAACACAAAGAATTTATAGATTTGTTATCTATAAAAATATTAACATGCACTGTATGTCAACACAACCTCACAGGTTTTCACTTTTTAGTTACATTTATTCTGAATAACCTCAGTCTTCCTCAGAATTTGGAAGACTCAACTGTCCTTTACCTCCTTACACATTTATGTTCAGTATGCTTTTGAAAGAAGTATAGGTTTCAAGAAATTGAAAACTCAAGAGTTTTTCATGGAGTTCTAGTTCTAGGTCTAGGTCTAAAGCAGAGGTCGGCAACCTATGACCCGTGGGTCACCGAGTGACCCTTTGGTTATTTCAAGTGACCCACTTTAGTTCCGAAAATAAAGTATAAGATATACAAGCATTTTTTTCTTTTTTCCAAAAAATTTTTGTCGCAAAGTTATGAATGTACCAAATTTGAATCCAGTATAACAAATAAAAATGTCAGTTAAAGCCCCACCCCGGCCTGACTGGATATGGAATCGGCCGATAGTATGCGGAATGCAGCGACATTGTCTGAACAAATTGTACCATTCCTGGACGCGCGCGTTGTTATCTCAGTTGTATGTCAGTTATAGTTATAGCACGTGTAGTACAGTAGCACAATAATATTGACCTAGTGACCTAGTGAAATAAATATTATTATTTAGAAAAATTACAATGAACAAACAAAAAGCAAAAAAGAAATTATTTCAAGATGTGTGGACAGAAAAGTATGGGTGTATCGAAAATGGTTGACAAATGGATATGTACTTTATGTACAGATATAATTACCGCCAGGACTTATAATATTGAGCGACACTTTTCTTCAAAACATAAAGATGTGAGTGAAATGACAAATGAATATAAATTTGAATACATTGATAAACGTGTATTAAAGTTTGGAAAACAAAATAAATTCTTAAAGAGTTTTTGTTACCAGCAACAATCACGCTACGTCTACCAGCTTTGTTGCAGCTCTTAGCATTGGTACCAACGGAAAACCATTTACAGACGGCGAGTTTTTGAAAAACGCATTTATAAATTGTTCCGAACACTTATTTAATGACTTCGCAAATAAAAAACAAATAATTGAGAGAATCAAAGAAATGCCATTGTCAGCTAGAACAGTCCAGCGTAGCGTTGAAGATATGGCCAAGAATATTGATGAACAGATCAAAAATGATTTGTTATCTTGTGACATAATTAACATTGCAGTTGACGAAAGTACCGACATAAATAGTATTGGTAGGCTTGCAATAATTATTAGATTTGCATCAATAAATAGCTCGAATGTCAATGAAGAACTATGCGTTCTTGCTTCAATGAATGACGCCACCAAAGGCACTGATATTTTTCGTCAAGTACGAGAGTTTACAAATTTCAAAAATGGGCAAGTATTGGATTTAAAAAGTAAATTGTTTTCCGTACAACTGACGGTGCTCCAAGTATGAGAGGAAAAACTGTTCGATTTGTAAAACTCATGGAAAATGAACTTGGCCTTTCACTTTTATCGTTTCATTGTATCATACGTGAAGAAAATTTATTTGCAAAGGCATCTACACAACAACTTAAGGATGTAATGGAAAAAGTTGTTAAGATCGTAAACATGATAATAGCGCGATCAGCATTAATGTGGGAATCGTGCCTCAACGAAGCTCCAGATGTCGCTACCTATCACTTCTCTGTACGAACTCTCCAGGTTCCAGGATCTTCAGTTGGTTCGAGAAGTCCGAGAGAAGCGGTCTAACAGAACGCTCGCGAAGGAGCTACAACTAGACGCTTACTGGTCGCGCGTAGGCGATCGGACTTAGAACTTATCTAAAGTGACCGCACGTAGGTAGTCAGCTGTGACTTTTACATCTCCATAGTGGAACCAGTGTGATTACTCTCCTAAACATATTTAATCCATTTGTACATACTCATTCCGTTTATCTTTTCTTCTATAATTCAGAAATAAAACCTGATAGTTTGAATCGTGAGTGTGATCTCTGTTTGATGATAAGACGTCACCCTCACAACTATGGGGGCTCCAAGCCGGCGAACTTCAAAAAAGGTACTGTGAAAACTTTTCCTTCTTTAAGATAGTGATAGTGTTTCGTTTTAAAATGAGTTTCTTAAATAATTCAACAACTATTGAAAATTCAGATGCTTGTGTTCGACTTAAAACTACTAATTATAAGCCAGACTTGACTAAATTGACGTCACAAGTTCAACATCAGGGGAGCCATTGATATCGCAGAGAAAGTTTATAAATAAAGTTTATTCAACTATGTTTGTAATTATTTTCTTAATAAAATATATCTTATTATTTACTAAAATGCTGTTTTAATACGAAAATATCTCTGACCCAAACGTCTCTTTAATACTCGCATTTTGGTTGATTTTGACCCGCGGCCAAAAAAGGTTGCCGACCTCTGGTCTAAAGTAATACCTGTTCACTTCAAGATATCGAGGTACTACCATTCAATAGTTCAGCTACTTTGTTCATCGCAACTTACTGAGATGCCACTGTTTGGGTAACTTCTTACTGTTTGTAACCAGGATTTAATCCCATTTCTAATTAAATAAATTTTTGCTTTAAGAATTATGGACTTATGTAATGTTCATCTCTTCAGAAGGTACTTGATGTTTGGAATAGACAAAAGGTCCTTGCATTCTCCATCTCATCCTTATGAGAAGAAACTTCTGTCTTGGTTTCGTTTTTCCTAAAGAAACTTCTCCTGTCTTGGTTTCTTCTTTCCTAAAGAAACTTCTTCCTTCTTTTTACTAGAAGAGACTTCTATTTAGGTTTTTGGTCAAGAAAGGCTTGCAGATCTTCAATGAGAATAACATAAATAAATAGATTTATTTGCCTGCTCCTATATTTGTTATCTTTGTCACAGACACTATTTTGTATGTGTTTACGTGTCGTTAAAAATAAGAAGGTAAAAAAAATGGCTGTGCGTTTGATATATGAAAAATCTGGCACGCAATTCGGGGACTAAATTCATTATGCGGGATTGAATTCATTAAGAAGGACCTTTTCTTGGTCTTCGTGTGCGTTCTTTATCACTGTACTTAGAATTTATGAAAAAACTTTATTTGCCAAATAAGATTCCCATCTTGTTTCTATTTAAATAAAGATACCTGAGCATACCTGAACGTAGAAAGAGAATAATAGTTTACTTTCTACAATGCATAAAATTTAGAAGAAAAAATATAGTCCATTTTATCACTAAGCTGATTGCTAAAATTTTTTTAGATCCTATCCAACACTGCAAAGTCTCCAGAACGTCATTTATTTTTTATAGGTCATATTCCTACCAATCTGTGGTCAGGCTGCGAACGCGACAATAGATTACATTCTAGCTCTCATTGTACCATCAAAGCATACCCTCTTAGCTGCACCGAGTTTAATTCACCTTGCTTGAATATGCCATGTGAGGATGCATGTAGTCTATATTCCGAGAAACAGGGACATAACTGTGGAGATCACGTAAGTATACTACTGTAATAAAATAATCATCTATATCAGCGTAACATTTATAGTTGTGATTAAACTTAAAATGCTTGCCTTATCGTTTTTACAAGTTTCTTGAAGGTTACTTCAGCCAACAAAAGAAATTTAATTCCAGACAGAAATATTCGAGCCTCACTTGAAGACTGCTGCAGCTGGCACTGGTTAAGTTGCTTTAAGAATTAGAAAATAACTCAAGTTTGGGAATATTTTTAAGGCTAAACGTTTTTTAAATTGGACTAGTGGATCTTTCCTAATTTATTTATGAACAGAGATGGCATCAGATTGTTCAAAATTCTAAACAATATTCCAGTCTATTCCATTGAATTTCGGAGGCATTCAGTAGACGCTATATAATGCAATACAATCAAATTCCTTTTTTTCTCGAGCCATGTCATTTTCTTTTAATTAACATCGCTTTTAAAATAAATAATATATATGCACATGCACACACATATATCTATATCTATATCTATATATATCTCTCTCTATATATATATAACATTATTGTTTCAGGTCTACTTTGAAGCGGAACCATGTGTCCGATATCCAGGAAGCCAGATAGCTTCAGGAGGAAAGAAGGCTTGTTGTGGTTCTTGCGCGGAAGGTGAACCTTGTGAAGGCGAGAAGATAGAAAAGCTCCATCCATGTCTGAAAGTTAGGTTTCAAGAAAGAGAATTTATACCCTACAGGAAAGGAGGTGTCATACCTAATTATATGGGACACATTCCAGGTACATCTAAATCAGTGGTTCTTGACCTGTTTTGTCACATTCACCAGTTTTACCATTACTAGATGGTTGTTATCCCTCTCTTTTTCAAACTTCGAAAAATATACTACATATATTTATATAGATATAGACTACGTTTTAACATGTTTTATAAATTTAAGAACAGAAAGTTTAGAAAACTTTGATAAATACTAAAACATAACATACAAACAAACTTTTGAACATAAAAAAGTAATTTTTTAGGTTCATAAAGTAAAACTAAATACTTAACCAGCTAAATAAAAAGCTGATCGCATTCGGCCCTGAAAGTAAGGAATCTTCTCACGGGAGATTCCTCCTTGATTAACAACACCTGAGAAAAACCGAGAAAAATTTTTGCTTTATCATTTTACAATTTTCTTGAAGGTTACATTAACTAACAAGGGAAATTTATTTTCAGACAGGAATATTCCAGTCTCACTTAGAGACTGCTGCAGCTGGCTGTGGCAAACTAGTTATAAGAATTACTAAGTTAAATCTGGGAATATTTTATAAGGCTAAACGATTTTAAATTGGGATGAATGAAACTTTTGTGATTTATTTATTAACCGAGAGGGTATCAGATAGTTCAGAACTCTAAACAAGTGATCTTAAATTTTCCTTAGACAGCGCATTCTTAATTCAAAAAGTCTTTTTTAAGTTTTACATACTGTAGATGGATATAAAATGTAACACTAGAAAGAAAAAAAGTGTTTCATTAGTGACTAAGGTTTATCGAGACTATCAATGTAAAGAATTAGCATATAGTTCACAGTAGATGGAAATCCGCAGTATTTTGGAAGTATTTAGTAGACGATATATAGTGCAGTACAATAAAATTCTTTTGTTTCTCAAATCAAATTCTTTTCTTTCTCAAACCAAATTCTTTTCTTTCTCAAATTAAATTCTTTTCATTTAATTTTCTTTTAATTCATGTTACTCTCAAAATATCTTAACAATCTGCTGATGAAATAATTCGAAAATAAGATATTTCTCATCGATTATCATGAACTTTGACTGAGACAACATTTCATATGAGGCAAAAGCTCTGTTTATTCTCAAAACTGTTTGTTTATTCTCAAAACTCTCAAAACTGCTCACAAATGAGTAACTTTGCTATTGTACTGAGATTTATGCGTACGAATATTAAATTTCCAGTAAGCAATGTTGTTAAGCGTCGAACTGCAAAATAAGTATTACAAACTTCGTCAGAAAATGTATAAGTACAAGATCTTAACAAAAATTAAGATACACTCATCTGTAGTATAAAATATATTGAAAGGAGAATATCAGCCAAAGCATTATGATTATACTTCTAACTTCTAACTTGCTCCACCTCTGGCAAATAAACAGTTACATAGCTTCGTCCCTGCATAGGTTCTAAACATGTCCTTGACAAGGACCTACTTAGGAGGAGACTGTACTAGTTTTGCCAACACAATTCAGTTCCCATAGATTACATGGAGATGGCTGGTGAGCTCTGAGCTGGTATTCCATAATAACCCAAATTTTCTCAACAAGATTAATATCCAGGCAGTTAAGGAAGCCAGAACATTAACACTAAATTTACGGTACTCGTTATTTTGACGGATTTCGGAATTCATGAACAAAATTATAAAAACCGTTATTTTTATAGTTTTCTAGTTTATGCTTATAATTTCTAATGTAAATACACACAAATACACACCCAAATTTAGTTCCCCTTCAGTCGTTTAATTTCAGAGTTCTGTACGATTTACGTCTTCACGGATACCCATCAAAATGACGGATAATCTAGTTTCATAGTTAATCGTGACAACCGGCCTTTTTTGAAATTATTTTTCTGGTGACAAGCATAAAAGTAGTCAGAACATAGATACTAAATTAAAATCATAATTTAACGGAAATATCTTTCGATAACTTCGAATACAATATCGACGCCCTGGGGTTCGCCAAAGCAAGGAATATATCACGTGTGATTACTTGTCAATCGTACATGCCTAAAGCATAAATGTAAAGCGTTAGGCTCAAGACTAAGGAGTGATCTGCAGTCGTTGAATTCCAGTCAATGTATCAAGATGTTTTCGAAAACGTTTCAATTAGCGCGAGTAGAAATGGTCGAGAAGAAGGTATTAGATTATGTGTGTGTATTAGCAATATAATTAGAGGAAAGTACTAGTTTTACTTTCTTCTGAAGAAATGCGTTTCTTTAGTCATCATGAGTAATTCAAGAAGAGATACTGAATTGCTAGAGAAAATAGTTAGTATCAGGGAAGATTGCTGTGGTAAGTCTGTTAACACTAAAAACTACTGAAACTTTTTTACAGCTATAAAACAATTACAGAACTGTTAAACTGATGGTTATCAGTAATCCTAGATTTTTAAGACTAAAGGCATGATTAGGCTAAGTGTTTATAAATTACATTAGCATTTTTTTACGAAACTACCTGCTTTTCTAAACCCTTCATTTGACGGGTGTACGTAAATACAGGTTTACAAAAGCGTCCGTAAACCTAGTGTTAATTGGAATTCATTAGTACATTCCTCTAGGCATGGTAGCACAATTCCATAGTTTTGGCTTTGTGATAAGGAGCATTATACTGGTAGGAGAGGCCATTCTCAGTAAAAAAGACAGAAATCAGGAGAGTAAAGAGGTGTAACATAACCTGTAGTTGTCAGGGTGTGTTGTACAATAACCATGCCATTGAGAATATTCATCAAAGTAATAATATCTCCATCATCACTCTCTATACCGCAAATGTCTATCAAATGCTTGCCTGAAAGACGGCGTACCCTGACACATGGACATTGGCATGATGTAAAACAACAGTGATTCATTCTTTTCCATTATCCAAATGCAGGTTTTCAAATTTACTACAGACCTCTTGTATACCCTGCGGAGCGTTCTCCCACTAGATAGTGGTAGACGAAGTACTAAACAGACTATCCTGTGGTAAATATATGATGCCCTCATTCTTCGCAACAATGTACAGCTCCAACTAACATTTTATCCAAGTTATCATGCTTTTGTACGACGTGGTTAGACTCTGACAGATAATGCCATAATGGCTACACGACGCTGGAAATTCGCTGATTGAAAGATCTCTCCAAGGGAAGAAGTGAGAGGCCAAATAACAGAAGTATCCCCAGCAATAGTTAAATATCATTTCGAATTTGTCATATGCTGTTTGCGTCATTCCGTTTATCGCATGCTCTTGGTACAGTGATGGTCGTCTTAGGACAACAAATATTTTAAGAAATCACTCACTAGATGTCTGCAGTAGCCAACAATAATTTTTATGTTCTAAAATAAGATTTGATAATAACACAAGCTAATTTATAAAACTGAGATTAACTCTTGAATAAGTGTAGATAATTTTTAATATTTAATAAATAATTTAAAGAATTTTAAAACATATTTCATATTTAATTGATATGTAATTTATTCAATGTAGAAACTATTATGAAACTTAGTAACTTAATTATTATGAAACTTAACCAACTGTGAGTTTACCTGTGTGAAAGAATATCGCGTGATGTTCAATAATGAGTCATGGATTTTGCACTGAGTGATATTTTGTATTGTCGATTGCGTGCTTAGTAAAATTGGATGATGAACTTATGACTGATCAGATAAGCAACCTACAAGAAAAAAAAAGTACACATAATTGGTGACTTTTGATATACAATCAACATGCCGGATGATACTGCTAAATCAGGAAACGTTGTAGAGTTGAGTTCCATGAGCATCAAAATTCCACCGTTTAGGAGTGATAAGTCCGAGATGTGGTTTTAACGGTGTCGGCCGAAAACATCGCGGCAAAAACATTGCGGACGAAAACTTGGCGGAGAAAACAACCAGCTACAAGCTCAGTTCCAGATTTGAGGTGTTAAGGCAGAGTACTCGAAATTCATTTAATTAGTCGCTCAGCTGAATAGAAATTATAAGGGATGTTATTAAAGATTATTCTGAGCAAAAATACACAGCTGCAAAGGAAAAACTTTTGAATACGTTCAAAGAGAGTGAGAATAAGAGAATAAATCGTTTAATTATGAGTCTGGAATTAGGGGATATGATGGCTGTCCAGTTGTTATGAAAGATACGTTCACTTGGACCAAGCTATATACCTGAAAAAGTGCTGCGCACCTTACGGCTGAATAAAATGCCAGATGCTGTTAAAAACATTCTTATTGTGAGTAAGGAAGCTCTGGATAAGTTGGCTGTTTGGCTGCGATGGCAGACAAAGTTATGGAATGTCTCCAAGAAACACAGAATTGTGTGTTATCAACACTAAGCCAGCTGGCATGGATGAATTGATCGAAAAATTTCTTCACTTGAATTACATTTAGCAAGTACGCAATGTGAGCAAAGATACTTCCGTAGTCCTAATTGAGAGCTACAGTCATTTCAGGAAAAGTTGCCGGAGTAAATCTCGTAAGAGATATGATCCTAAAAGGCAGGTTGTGTGTTTATAATTTTCGTTTTGGTAAAATGTGCTTCGAGAAATATTTACAATCCTGCAGTTGGAAAGATTCGGAAAACCGGTCCCAGCAGTAGATGCGGTAGTAAGTTATGCTGCAGAAGATTCTAGTTATTGCAAATTCTGTTTATTTGTCAAAAACAAACAACAATAACAACAACAACAAAAATGGATTGCCAGTTTCTGCTTGACAGCAGTGCAGATGTGTCAGCTGTATCTCCTTGTAACAGTGATTTTAAAGACGGTGATTACAAATTATATATGCATGAAATGGTACTGAGATACACACATGTGGTTTAAAAATCCTTTCATTAGACCTAGGCCTACGCCGCTCATTTCAATGGTCATTTGTTGTGGCTAAAGTTTCCAAAGACATACTTAAAGTTGATTTTTTAAATAAATTTGAATTGTTTGTTGACATATATAAAAAAAGTATCGATGGTAAAACCAACTTCGATCAATGGAGAAGTTACAACTGTTCAAAACTATAATTTAAGTACTGTCAGCAAGTCAGCAAAATATTTTGAATTGCTATGCAAATTTCCAGATTTAGCAAAATCTTCTTTTTTTAAGTCTTAAAACATGATGTTAAGCATTATATAACTACTGCAGGCCACACTGTGCACTCAAGAGCTAAGCTAGACAGATAGATACTGGAAAGCTCGAGTTAGCAAAGCAAGAATTTAATTTCATGCTGAGTAATAGCATAATTCGGCTATCCACATCTCAATGAGCTATCCCCCTCCATTTGGTTTGCAACAAAGTGATAAACAGAATTGCAGAAGAAAATAAACCCAAGACTGCTATAGAAGTACCTTTCGGTCTCTATGAAGTTAACTTGATGAGTTATGGATTCCGTAATTCTTCATTTACCTTCTAACACTTCATTACAGAGGTATTACGTGGATTAGATTCTTGTTTCCTACAACTTGAAGATGTCTAAATCGCATCTTCCCTCTTGAAGATGTCTAAATCGCCTCATAAGTTGCATCTAAAATTACTTTTCGACTGATTACAGCAGTATGGACTTCGTATTAATATTGCCAAGTCGGAAATGGGAGTTGCTCAGGTAGAATATCTGGATTGCGTCATAACCTTAGAAGATTTTTGTCCACTGCCGGAAAAAATGTGTGAAGTACTTCGCAATTATAAATTACCCGCAACGATATATGAGCTTCGCACATTTCTTGGCATGATAAAAATTTTATCGCCGCTATGTGAAGAATGCTTTAGAAACTGAATCAATCCTACAGGACATGTTTGAAGGGTACTAAAAAAAACGTCATAATGTTCGATGAACAAACCAAGGAATTCACCAATTCGAGAAGTATAAATCTGATTTAGCCAATACTTTTTGTTTCCCTGAAACATGGATTATCCTTTATCTTTGTGTACATATGCATCAGACATTATTATAAAATCAGAATTAAAACAGTTGGGAGATCAAGACTGGAAACCAATTGTGTTCTACACCAAGAAATCAAATGATGCACAGAAAACTAATAGCACCTATGACAGAGAATTGTTACAAATATATTCTCCTGCCAAGCATTTTAAGCATCTATTGGAAGAACGCGAGTTCATCATATTTACTGATCACAATCCACTGACGAATGCATGCAAACAAAAGAGAAAGAAGGCATAGTCAAGATAACAACGCTAAATTTACTATGTAATTTGAATTTTCAACTGATATTCGTAATATTGATGGCAAAAAGTCGGATGCTGTGTAACGAAATGAAGCAGTCTCAGTTATTGATTATAATGCAGTAGCAGATGCTCATGAAAATAATGAAGACTAGCATCATTTAATGACAGCTAGTACTTCCCTGAAATATAAATCATGTATATGGCCATCTGAGAAAACATTTTGGAGTGACAACTCAACAATCAACATCAGATCTTTTATTCCGAAACAATTAAGACAACAAATGTTTCAAGAAATTCATACGTTTGCTGATCCAGGTATCAGGATAAAAGTAAAACAGATGACTGAAAAATTTATATGAACGACTATGAAATAATGAATAATATAAAACATATAAAATTCGTTAATGTACCAAGACTTGTATTAATTGCAACAAAATTAGCAGACATACAAAATTCCAATTCGCCGAGTCTCAAGCATAATCTTAATGTTTCAGCTGATTAGTGTGAATAATGGTATATTAATGAATGTTAATTATGGAATTGTGCAAATTGGCAATAAAAGCTGGTTCGTCCAAACTTTTTTATAGTTTACTATTGAAATGCATCATAAGATATTTGGATATTTAAACAAATTTTCTTTTGAAACTGATTTATGGTGACAAAGCATTCTACAGCCTCATATTTCAGGATATAAAACCATTCATATTTGTGCATAATCGAATGATAAGTATAATAAGGACTGCAACGGAGAAGATCTCTAGTATTATACAACTGACACTGATGCAATCATGTTGCAGAAAAAGAACGTTATCACGATCGGTTGCTATAGCAAATATTAATTTAATATTCCATTATTAACTGAGAACTTTCTTTACTGATCTTTGTAATAGAATGGCCACTTTAATGAAGGATGATTACAACAACCTTCGATTGTACTATTTTAAAGTACGAAATACAATTAAACTCCGCTATAGCGAACCCTATTTAAATCAAATTTCCCGGATATAACGAATGAATCACTTGGTCCTGTCCAGTTTCCTATAGACTTAATGTTATTTTATACGGCTGTAGCGATTTTCTAAATGTCTAAAAACCGAATATAACAAACTTTAATGGGTATCTTTGACAGTTTTGTTTTTCAAACTTTTTTTCAGATCTATGGAATTTCCGACTAAAAAACTACTAACTGTTCAGACAGAATGAATATTTTCAGCTCTAATTCATTCTGTCAGCTCAGACAGAATGAATTAGAGCTGTTAGAATAACAAAAAGTACCTTTACCTGTAGTTACCTGTTTATTTTATCTTCACTTCCATCTTTGTTTTGAAAAGGGCTATAGGAGGCAGGTGTAGCACGAAATTCTTAAAAACCCAGGACACACAATAAATATAGCTTAGGAGATTCTATTGTTACATTCACTCAGCCATTGAAAAGAACCATTGATTCATTGAGACAAAGAACTTTAATTAGTTCTTTGATTCCATTCGAATTCTTTGGTGTACTGAGAGGCAACACTCTTTCAAGGCCGATGCTTATTCATGATTGCTAAATGCGTATTTTAGATGTAAATATGTTACTGAAGGAACAGGTCTAAATTGTGATTTTTATGAATAAGTAAAATTTTATTGTGTATAAAAGTAGTGTATGTGGCCACTGAAAAACAACGAAAAAGATAATTTAGTAATTGCACACAGTAATAATTGTAATAAAATTTTAATAAGCCTACATTGCTTTAAAGTTACCATTAACTTTTTTTGGGATATGGGACAATGTTAAGCACTTCGCGTGATTCAGCGATAAATTTTTACTCTTAATTTGAGAGAAAATCCAAATTTTTTCTTCTCAGATCGAATATAGCGAATCAAACAGTATATCTCTTTAATTTTGTTTTAGTGGAGTTCGACTGTATTGCATTTATTTTGAGCTCACTAATGAGCTATCAGTCCACTTGTCTTTAACTTCTAATCAGGTTTGGATCCAGAGAATGAGCTCTTTTTAGACCAGTAGCACAGTAAATAGCGGAAGCGTTTCACAATCTAACATATAAGCATCAAAACTAAGCATATTATCTTATATTTAAATTTTTTATTATTTTAAAACAAGTGTATGGTCTTTTAAAAATATTGTTTAATTTAATTATATTGATTGTCAATTTTTCTTTCAGGCATGCAGCACTCATTCGGCGAATCTTACGGAATAGCAGCTCATAGACTTCTCCAAAGGCATTTTAAAACGCTAGGAAGTCGATATTACTGATTATAACGTTCTATAAATTTCATTACAGGAGAGTAATATAGTGAGAAAACACGTAGTAAAATAAAAGATTTTACTATTTCAGTTTACTCCTGTAAAATAAAAGATTTTACTGTTTCAAGTAAATTATCTATTATCACTTGAATTTTGTGTAAGGTGTGCCAAAATTATTTTCATAAATTTGCCAGTAAATGAAACCTTATTCAGCATCTCGGAAAATGTATTAAATCTTCCGGCGGACTTAGAATATATGAAATGCGAAAGTAGTAGTAGATTATACTTCCGAATTTTAAGATATGCTCAAACAACTGAACATTTCATTTTAATTACCCGCACGAACACAACGATTACGCTTTTGGCGAAATGACTGGTTCTAGGAATGCCATCATTATCCTCAAAAACAGATACAGGATTTAGGCATATTATCTTCAACTGCTGCTTTTGATAGGCAACTAAAAATGTGTTCATAAATCAAAATAAGGATCTATATGAAGTTATTGCTTTTATTTCGTCGGCTATCAAAGCAGAAGGAATAAATAATATCTGAATTTTCATAAGGATTTAAAATGCAATAAATTTACATAAAAATTAATTTTCGAGAAATATTTTTTATATCAGAGAGTTATTTCCTCAAGACTAAGAGCTTAGGTCTTCAGATAAAAGGATATCAGCAACTACGCTGAAATCCTCAAATATAGGATTCAGAAAGCTTATTTAATCACGTCAAGTAAATTTATAAGAACTAAATGAGTACAAAATTTATGTGCGAAACGCTTATTTTTTTTTTCTCTTGTCATCTGTTCCTTCAATTTTTGTTAAAAAGAGATCACATACCTTCGTGATGTAGATAGTTTATAAGGTGATGTAGATAGTCTATAAGATTCGTGATATAAATAGTCTATAAGATAGTTTTTATTTTGAAGGTAATAAAGTTAGATATCACATTTATTTCTAAATGAAACTTGATCAATAATGATTGCATCAATAAGGATGCATTCAAAAGTGGAATAAGGTGTGTTATTTAAGTGCAATAAAGCATTACCAGGCTATCTATTTGCCAAAGTGGAAAGTTCTACTGAGTTGGCCATTTATTGCCAAGTTTTTAAAATCTTAAGAGTCTGAAAGCTAAATTTTATTTTTTCCTCCATTCATAAGTCGTCATTTTATTTTTAATAGTGCGTAAAGGTATCGCTTTTCTCGTTAGAAGTGAAAGCATTATGAAGATTGGTTTGTTTTGGATTCTATTTGATTACTGGAAAGCACTCGAGGGCTATCTGCCTAAGGATAGGAATGCCTTCGGGGAAGAAATTTTAAGGGAAACTAACTCGTATAGATGTTGCATTTTGGGAAAACCACGAAAACGCTCAGGCAGCCAGCCCGTTCACCAGGATTCGAATCCCACGAGCGAACTACCAATATTCAACGACTTTACTCCCCGGCTGCTGGTGGGCCACAACGTAAAGAAAACAACGCAAGCGGAAAATGCTATCGTATAAAACATCGTATTAGAAAAGAAAGCAAGGAGAAAATATCGCAGTTATAAAACATCATGGTACAAAAGTTGAAATAAATTTTCACAGAAATGATTAGAAAATAAATTTTCACAGAAAAATCAGGAAGGAAACCTAAGTATTCCAAATCTAGAATTTCGTAAAAATTAATACTACATACAGAAGTTCATTTAAATTTAAACTTATGTACCTTCTTCTTTCTAATCTGTTTTTTTTTGGGGGGGGAGAGGGGGAGGGGTATTATATTTTTAATGAAAATTTACCAGTATGTTTTTATGATAGAGGTTAATTAAATAAGTACTTTTAATTGTTAGCAATACAAGTTTAAAATTCTATTAACTGCTTTACGTAGTATTAATTTCCAGATTTTGAATGCTTAAGTTCCCTTCTTAATTTTTCAATAAACTTTATTAGTTAATACAAAAATATGAAATCTAGAATTAACAGTATTATTTACTTCTTGTGATCATAAAGTTGCGGATTCCGGATGATAACCGAATAGTCCTGGTAAGCCTCCCGGGTGTCCGGACCCGCTGTGATCATAAATTATTAGGCGAAAACTCACTTTTTATAGTAAAAAATACATGTCTGTTATATTATCACCATGTGATGATATGCATGTGCTTTATTTTTGACTACGATATATTATATGGCAGATTTTTAAAGCTGTACAATTTGCGCTGCTTAATTTTCCACCATGATGTTACAGAACCGCAATGTTTCCGCCTTTTCTTTTCTTTCGTAATATTTACAACGACCTTTTTCCATTACATTGTTTCCTCAGCCGCGTATTCATCCGCGATATTTTCGGCACACAGCGCCGTACTAATCCCGTATTATTATTATTATTATTAGAAAAATTTCTCTAGTTCACAATATATATATATATTAATCTCAATGATTAGATTAAATTGAACCTAATTAAAGTGAAATGCATAGTTTACACAATAAAGAGCACTTTTATTAAGCTTATTATACTCGCCTTTGGTTTGGGGATTTTTCCTCCCATAGACAACTTCCTTAATTGTTCTGTAATTAGAAACATATTTATTATCAAATATATTTAAGTGAAAAATTTAACTAAAATTACAATTATATAAAAACAACTATACAAAAATCTCTAGGGTTTCCCCCTTCTTCAAAGAATGTATTGCAAATTTTTTGTAACAATCAGTAACCTTAAAATAGTCATGATCATTTTTTTCTTTAATAGGGATATTTAAAATGTATTATTATTAAACACGGGCCATCTTTAATAAATTTTTAAAGCTGTTTTGATATATTATTTATCAGTGTAGCCGTAATATATTCTTACTAAAAGAAAATATACACCTACTAAAGCAGGCATATCAAAATCACTGCCCGCGGGTCGCAGACGGCTCAGTTCATTTTTCTGCGGCACATGGTTCACTTCGAGAAAACAACTGAAAGCTGAGATTATATTAAATAACAAAAAAGCGTCTGTTTTTTACTAAATGTGCTAATAAGCTTCATCGTTTGAAGACTGGAATCGAAGAAAAGTTCTGATTAGATAAATCGAAAGACGAGTTCTCCATGTTTTCTGCCTCTCTGTGAACTGACGCTGAGAAAATGCCAGCCAGTCTGCAGATGGAATTAACAGAAATTCAGTACGAATCGACTGAGCAAAAATTGTGTATCATTATGTGACTTTTTTGTTCAGTAGTACGTATCAGTGTTAAAACTTTTTCTCACTTATAAAAAGTCTCGAGCGAGGTCGAGGTTAACATTCATCTGACCTTTGTTCTGAAAATCGCTAATATGAGCAGCATTTCTCTGAAGCTGGTTGCAAGCGTCTGAAAGCTGGTTGCAAAGAAAAGATGCCAGGTGTCTTCCAATGAAGAACAAATATCCATTTATTACTCATATTTCCTTATGTTCCTTCCAATTTTCTTTAAAAACTATAGTATTAAGTAATATCTTATGTATTTACTCATATTTTAAATACAATATTAAGCATAAAAATACTTTTTTTCTTGCTTCCTGCAAATCATAACTATGTGGCAGCTTGAGATATTGAATTTGGCATGCCTCTAGTAAAACATCTGCCCTTCAAAAGAGTGGTTTCATTATTATTCGTATGTATTAGTGTTACAATTATTTACATAAAAAAAACTTATAGAGGTTTTTTTTTAGTCGCATAAACTAAGTCTAGATTCCTAATAGACTTAGAAGACCTATTGCTTCGTCTGAAAAGAACTTCAAAATCTTAAGAAGGTTTTAAAACAAACCTTTTTATTAAATCAGAACTGGAGCATAAATGCATGTCTCGTGCTTGACAAATCAGCCAGCCACTTGCGGCGATTTAATTGGAAGTAACAGACAATTTCAAAATTTAAAACTAAGTCTATACCCAAAGGCTACACAACTGATTTAACGCAGTCTCAAATTTGTCACTGGCGTAACAATTTAAATGTCGACAATTATAATGCAAAGACGAAGACTACAACCTTATCTGAGATGGCGAAAGGTGGTTAACGCTGATTTTTATTGTTTGACTTCTGAATTACTAATAAGGTGGCATGGAGAGGCAGAAACATGCTTTTTCTTACAATCCAACAACCTCACCATAAAGATTTGCTTTCTTGTAGGAAAGCAAAAGAAAGAAGCGACAGTAAAGAAACTAAATCATGATAACTAGTTAGATTAACACAATGTAAAGCTACACAGTAAGAAAATAAATTGCAATTATGAACATAAAGAAGCTGCTTTGGAAAGATACGAGCCATTCCCCTAATTAAATATATTTTAGAAAAAAGTTCCTTTTTGTTTATGAATACGAAAATTTGCAGGTTGGAATTTAAGGAATATAAGTACAAATGATAAAGAATTTTATATTACTAGTGTAATGATATTTACGGCTAACTATAATAAATGTATTATTTTAGTTTAAAAGTAGAAGAGATCCAAAGCAAATTAATTTGAGCAAAGCATTGTTTTTAATTGCGTCAAGCAAGTCAATTTTTTACTGAGACCTGATTATTTTTACCGATAATATTTGTTTAAAATTTTTGTAAAGGAAATCAAAGGCAGAGGAGTATATCACCTTAAGTCTTCCATGACTTAAAATTGCCAAGGTATGAGAAGAAAGTGTGTTAAAACCTTTCTTCACAAAATGGTATCACCGATCCAAAGAGAACCGGGAAACGTACTATAAAACGTAAAACTACCAATGTAAATCTATGCAAAATATTGTCTTTGTAAAGTAATCGAAAGAGAATCCTCGGCTTTGCAATTTTGATCTACAAAAAGACTGACTCATTGTGGAGTCCAAGTGCCTCTACAGTTTTAAATAGCAAGAGCCTCTATAATTCGGCCATGACTCGACTCTCGAAACCGGTTATAAAATTGTTTGACCTCAGAAAAAACAAATTTCAACGATCTCGATGAAGAGAAATCGACTGCTGATTTGATTTAGCCAAAAATATATTTAATATGGAAATAACAAAACTGGAAAAATGTTCGTTTTATGATGATAATCATTTTATTGTCTAGGTTTACAGAATTGACATTCACAGCATGCAAGAAAACCACCTAGAGAAAGTATTTCACAAAGCACTTCGATTACACTGTAAAACGCAAAGAAAAATTTGTCCGAGTTTCTTTTTCTATCTATAATACTTAGTATTTGTATTTATCGTTAGTATGATGAATTTAGAAAAGTAATTTAAAGCAGCAGAGAATTAAGTTGTTCCCTTATAATAAAAACGATGGCCGGATGAAAATGAAATTCCGAAACAAAATCTTGCGCCTACTGCAAATCCCAGAAAGCTGAAGGTACTTTTAGAAGTATAAAATAAGTGAACGGCGAGGAAACTCGCCCAACTTCAACCCAATGAAAAAACTTTGGCCAGTCATGAAAGGAAAGCTCAGGCAGCATCTCAATAAATCTGTTAATTTTTAATAGCATCAGAGTTTGATTTCATGATAATCCATGAAATTGCTTTGCTGAAATCAGCTCCAAAACATATAGAATAAATTAGTTTGATTACGGCAAAGAACGTGAAAGCTACGTTTTAAAAGAAGTGAAGCTTTTCCGGAGAACTTTCTACAAGAAACTTGCTACAAGACTCGTGTCCACGAAAACGTTCAGGAAACCAGCCCGTTTGGGTCCAGCTACCACATTTCAGTAACGTGACTGCTCCACCTTCGAGAAGGGGTATGGAACAAATAATCAAAGCCAAAGGAGTCAATATTTCGTATTAAGTTAACAATCAAGTTTTGTAAAAGGGTGTTTTATTAAAGGTATGTTTTTATTTGTTCAGATTAATTTGAATACTACTGTAAGGGACAGAATGCATGATTATTATATTACATAAGAATTCCTTTTCAGCCCTTGTATATATAACCTTGTAATGATATACTGTCAAATGTCAGAAGCTTGGCAACTTTCTCGAAGGTACGGGAAACGCATTTTTGGAGCTCTAGGAAAGATTTCTCCCAAAGTTTCCAGAAGTCCGTGCATCACCATATATAAATATAGCTCAGAATCAAGACGTGTCAGCTATTAATCGTTTCTCAGAACTTCATTGTTGTTCAAAGCGGAAGCTGAATTTCGTCTTAAGAACTTACTTTTGAGTAATATTTCTAAATTACAATAGGCACTAAAGAGGATTTGCCTAATACCCGCGTTCTCTTTGAGTTAATTACAGCTACTGATTTTGCTTATTCAAAGAGACATCTACGAACCTGTAGCTTGCAGCAACGTATTCTGTTGTTTGTATCGAAGTGTAACATTGCGTGCCTCCAACTTGCACGCAACCAAGAGGTGACTGTGAAAACAGGATAAAACACAGAGTCTTGTAAAGGGTTTAAGTCCCTTCTTATTCAACGTAATAAATTACAATTGCGTGCTCTTGACGCTTACAGACGGCGCCAACTCGGCGGTCAAATAAAAATAATAACCTGAAAAGAAACTAAAGACAAGACTCTAACTACGAGGCTCTCTAAAATAACTAACTCACCGCGTTTTTACAATACCGCTGCTAATTCAGCAGACTTGAAGCTCACTTGGAACGATTAACACTACTTCCCGCCAAGCACATAGGCCCGAAACGCGGGGTTCTTCAATTTCTTGAAAACTACCTCCGCGCTCGTGAAGTAAGAATATCACCCTCCAAACTCGTTTCCTTCCTATTTAAATCATAATATTTCCGCTGATAATTTGAATCCTTGCGCGTTCTACTCAAATTTACATATTCTGGCATTGGCAGTTCCAGGGGAAAGTAAGGCTTGACAGGAAAGATAGTTTAAACTTAAAATAAATGTTAGTTAAAATAAATATAAACCCTACATTTCCCGCTTCCAGAATTTGGAAAACTTGGAAGCAGGTCCTACAAACGACCTGTTGTAAGTTTATCTAATTCTGAACTAACTGGCGAGAACCTCGTTTACACACACAAAAAAAAAAAATCTTATGTAACAATTATACTAAAATTCTGTTAGTCGTTACAAAGCTTTCTTCTTACAGCAACTTTTCCTGGACTTCATCAATCAATCTTGGTCTTTCCTTCCAGCATCTGGAAGGAATAAGTATCAGTATCTTTCTATATACATTATAATTTACACTTTCTTGACACAATAAAATTTTGTTTTTAAACGATTCGTTTTTCTTAGTTATTGCTTACTTCACATTCATTCAATTTTTCAAGCATTAATTTAACTTTACCCTGGCTCTCCACCATGTGTGGTGTCCAAACGGGAATATTCGTGTTTTAGTCTTACAACACTTCCCCTAACCACCATGATTTGTTAGAATTCAACGACCAAATAGACAACACCTTACTCGACATTCTACAATTCAATGAGCTACTTTAATATTCTTAAAAATTCAAATGTAGGTGGAGAACCCTACAAAAAACACATTCATTCTAACTTCCCCCTCATTCATCTTTAAACATGCGGGCTTTCGCTCTAAAGCATGACTTTACAGATTAATACTTAAATTTGACTTCATTGCTTTTAAGCATTCACTTTTTTAGCATCTACAATTTTATGCTTCTAGACTATAA